GTTTAGAGCAAGGCCAACGGTTTGCTTTATTTATCGACCAGACTTGACAATGAGGCATTGCCGTTGATAGATTGGCTGGTTTGCACAATTAAGGATCAAACATTAGCATTCATACCCGCAAAGACTCATCCTTGGTCGCAATTGAAAATCATTGCCTGATTCTGCCTTGACCTAGAGAGACATTTCTGATCCTAGGGAGCAAAAACAGATATCCAGACTTCAGATTAATTTTCGTTCAACGTTCCACGGACAAAAAGGTGCCGTTTTCATTACGGGGGGCTGAGTACCTGTGTTGGCAGCTGCAAGCAACCTAATATTTACCCGGAAATATTAAAGGAACTCTTATGAAGGAAACATGGCTGTTGATTCGTCTCTTTCTCTTAAACAAATTGCAAATGTTTTAGCACAATTAACCAAATAGGGTCATACATATCTGGATTCCTTGCCGAAATAACCATACAGAAACTAGAATCAACGGCCCTTTCATCGATTAACCCAAAGTTATGGGTACGATATGTAGAAAGACACCAAATAAAAGTGGCGCAAAAACCGATGGCTGCTTTACGCACCCAGCTAGTACACCATATTGATAGGGTTGGCTACCTCGATAAGAAAGAAGTCATCTACAAATTTCCATGCGAAGCTGGTGATACGGTATATTGTGGACAGACAGGAAGATCCGTCTCCACACGCATCCACAAGCACCGATTGGCAGTAAAGAGACGTGACCATTTGTCCGAAGTTGTTGTGCATTGCCTTGATACAGGGCATGCGTTTGCATGGGATAAAACACGCATCGTCGGAGTTTGCACCTCCAAAAGGGCAGAGAATTTCTTGAGGCCATGCACTCCGATTATTCATGCATCAACCGGCGTACCGAGTTAGCTGGAGTATAAAAACACCTAACAGAAAGGTGGAAGAGACTACAGCCTACAGCTATGGACCAACATGGACCGCAATTAGCGATCACACCAGATGACCTGGACTGACAACGGACAGACTCAAATTACAGTTGCCAATTAGCCATTACGCTATTGTGACTGCTAACTATGTCCACCACGATGTGACGCAAATTGTAACTACCAATTAGCGCCCACATTACGTGGCTATATAACTGTATCAGCACTTTGGAATATTAACTTTTCTTTGAACCTTATTCTCACGTCTGACGACGGCCTAGGGATCCAATGTCGAAAATTTACGAATAAATTTACTCATTTTTCTAAAAGACGCCTTTCCTTGAAAAATTGCATGTATGCAAATCAAATTTACGTCAGGGATCGAGTATTTCAGACATGCCGTTCGGAGAACACAGTAGAAAGAACGACCGTTCCAGCGGTAGAGGTTACCTAAGTCTTGATCCAAGACTATGCAAACCTTAAAATTACACTTTACTTTAATCCTATGCTTATCCTTATAAGCTGTATTCAAAGTAACCTTTCTTTATCTCAGAATAGGCGTGATTTATACACGTGTATTGAGCTTCTTATGATGTGTTTTTCCGTCGGAAAGTGTG